CTAGGGGCAGTAGATGTGAAACTCATTTTTACATTGATTGATTTCGAAAAATGCACAAAAGGTGTGATTTCCAGGAAGAGAATTGAATTTATTAGCAGTTTTGAGGAATTAGCAAAGCAGTTTTAAGGAATTAGCAATGTTCTTCTTGGCCCACTTCGTGTATAGTGTTATTTGGTGATTGCAAACCCATTAAATACAAAAATCTTCAAGTAAAACTAATAATCGAGGAAAACAACCAATGGGAAGGGTGCGGTCCACCGTTGAGCCGCGTTGTCCCACGCGACCAAAAAGGGCTGTCGTCAAAGGGTTAAGGGTACTATGAACTGTGATTCGAAGGCACTGCAAATAACCATCATATTTACTAGGTAGGATACTTCCTTCACGAGGAATCGAACTGGAGCCTTGAAGAGAAAGAATTGGAACGAGCTTATCAAGAAAGCCTCAAGAAATACAATACTCGAGTTTTGTGTGTTATCAACCCAGGGAACCCTACTGGACAGGTAAGAAATTTTCTTCATATGAAATTAGACTTTGACAGCCTATTGGACAAATTACACCAGCTTGTCTCCTTCCCGTATTTGGATTTACTTGTCTACTTGATTTACAATCTCTGTATTCTTTGCACTATCAGACATTTTTTTTACAGGCACAGCTTACGGCGAAAATGATTTCTGAGTTTTTCAACTAGGCGAAGTTTTAGCACCCAAGTATCCAATAGAAAAGGAAAAACGGCCTAAATGGGCGTTATAAGGACTAAAAGACTAGCTTTGTCGAAAATTCGAACGTTAAGAACTCCGACAACTAGGCAAGTCTCATACGGAATTGCACCGACAGAAATCTCGTCCAAATACCATCCTCCTTGCCATTCCCGTTATGGTAGTTTCCTACAACCCCCTATTTTAATACGTTCAGGACGCCTGATGTTTCCGAATTCCGCGAATTTTCTCGTTTTTTCCGCCACCCCACCACTCTTTCCGTACGAACCCAAAATTATTGTGAATTAACAAAATTATCCTGAACTATGACTATAACAACTTACTGCTCAACTCCAGGATAGAGTAAATAGCAGAGTTTGTTTTAGCAGAGTAAAAATAAGCAGCCAGAAATCAACTAATTAGCTATTAAGAGAAAAATTTTTTGGAACCTTCTGCAGGTGCTATCACGTGAAAACATCGAGACTATCATCAAATTTGCTCACCGGCATCATCTGTTCCTCATGGCTGATGAAGTATACCAGGTATCAGGCACAACACCGTTTCAGGGATAGTTCACAAATCATTCTCTGCCAGGTTTAGGACAACATTTACGCGAAAGGATCAAAGTTCTACTCGTTCAAGAAAGTCATCAATGAGATGGGTGCGCCATACAACCAGTATGTCGTTTTTTTTTNNNTTTTTTTTTACATTTCTCATAACCTCAGTGTAAAGGGTATACTGAAATTGGGAGCGCTCATGAACTGCAATTCTTACAACCCACCAAATGAAAAGGTGGGCTCTGGATCCCAATGGTCCTCTAGAATGCCTAGCTGTACGCTTAGTATACTTTGAACTGGCCTGTCAAAAGAATAGAACAGTTTCCAGTTGAACTTCCTACCACATGTAGACTCGACTGGAGTGCAGCCGGAGCGGTGACGCACAAAGCTCAATACAGTTTTTCGGTTTCCCTCCTAACTGATTGTCTTTCATGCAACCCAACGACAATCAGACACTTTCTAACAGTCTGTCAACCGGCGCCAAACCAAAGCTTTTATGTAATTCGGCAACCATACCGGCTGCACCGACGTGAGGCCAGCTGATGAGACCGTACTCGAGTCTGACACCCTGCGGAAATCCTTTTGTTATGTCGATTCTTGAAAATCGGAAGGGGTCAAGTCCTTTGCGCTGATAGCTTCGTCCTAACAGCGGAAAGTAAGAAAGAACTGCGCAGAACAAGCTGTAGCAATGGCATAGGAACGGTTCAACGTATAAAAGACAAAGTTACTCAGTACAACGAGTGCACAAATCAGTCGTGTTAAGGGGACCATCGAAAGTTTTCAGCACTACCGATACTTAGGGAGCGACCCATCGCGGATTAGGCTGTAAAGGCCCAAATCAACGCGGCATGAGTGAAGTGGGAGGAGTTTCTTGGTATCCTCTGCACCCGCCGGAACTCCAGGACGTCCTAAGAAAAGAAGTCTAGAACGAAGGCGAAAAGCAACTTCATTATGCCGAATTAGGATGCATAGATGGACCTGCGGTTGAACAAACTTAGTAAGAAGGAGATCAGGCAATCAGCCCCCAACCTGCTCCGATGAGGGAGTGGCGTCTGAGATATGGGCACTTCTGAGAAAGCCACCGGATCACCCGATCAGAGAAGATGTGGAGTTCGAAGTTCAGTGGAACGACCATGAGGAGCAAAAAGTAAAGGTGACGGACATGGTGAAGAAGGAATTTTCCGAGATGACGTGGATAAAAGGAAGTAGCGACAACGCAAGAGAACAGCGGTCCGCGCGATTGAGCTGGATTAAGAAGGGAGGAGAAAAGAAAAGAGCCAGAGGGAGGGCTCTCTTCTTTTCTCTCCCACAACGAGTATAACAGTAGAATAATGGAGCTGCGGACAGGAAAATGAAAAGGTGAGGGCGGAAGAAAAAAAATGAATATATAGGGCGAGTCAGATGCCATCTCGCTTTTTGTCGTATCCAGGGAATCTCTGGCTTATGTGAAAGTGAATTGCAAAAATTCGGCCTTCGGTTTTGGTCTGGTCCTGTTGTTTTCCTCCCAAATGACTGGCCAGTAATGATACAATTTAACTTAAGACTCATGGGTGTTTCTACATGGCGCTTTCTTCCATTACTGTAGCTTTGCCATACTAGAAAATGTATTCCAGAGAAGACATACAATTCCTTATCTCTGACTGAAATTTCAGGATGGAATTGGCATCATTCCACTCGGTATCCAAAGGCTTCATGGGTGAATGTGGTCTACGTGGTGGTTACGTCGAATTCTTCAACTTGGACCCTGAAGTCTACGTCCAGTTCAAAAAAATGACTTCCGCAAAATTATGTTCCACAGTTCTTGGACAGGTAAGTCACTAGACTGTAGGTATAACTGCTTTCTTCGGTAGTAGTCCGAAACAGATTGTTCCAGAAAGTTTTCANGTGAATCCGCCCAAGCCAGGAGATCCTTCGTATGATCAGTGGTTGAAGGTCGGTTTAGGCGGTCATACATCATCCGTGGGAAAGCAGAAATTTTCCTTTTTTAGGAAAAGACCGCAGTTCTCGCTTCGCTCAAAGAAAGAGCGACTTTGGTGAAGGAGGCCTATGGAAGTATCGAAGGAATTAAATGCAATGAGGTCCAGGGAGCTATGTATGCATTCCCACAAATAATGTTACCTCGCCGAGCTATCGAGAAGGCTAGGGTGAGTTCCCTCGGAAATTTTCACCACAATAAGACATTAGATTTTATTTTTTAAATATTGCATAAATACCGATGAAAACATAGTTGGAGGAGCATATTCGCACTCTTGTCTGCTCTCTCCAAAGTTCAATCCACTTCCACTCCCTATTCTGACTATTCGCATGAGGTCACCTTCCACTCACCTCGGTGCTCTCACCACCACCTCCCCTCCTCACGCTTGAATCAAACCTCTATCCCCTTGGCGTAGAATCGTCTCCAACCATCACTGTGAGACTACAAAGCCGACCCCCATCCTTCTGTGCGCCATGTCCTCCAGCGTTAAAGTGCAAAGAAGGCGTCAAGAGTAACCTCCAGATCCTTAGGCATCTTTCATAACCCACGATTTTGCGAGCGACCGGTCGCGGACCCATCTCGCGAGCGACTGGCGACCGGTCGCTCGACTGGTCGCTCAATCGGTCGAGGAGGCCACGCTAGTTATGGGTGCCGCCGAGGACGGTCCCGACCAGATAGCGCGATCAGTCGAGCGACCAGTCGCTCGCGAGATGNCACGCTAGTTATGGGTGCCGCCGAGGACGGTCCCGACCAGATAGCGCGCTCGACTGGTCGTGGACTATGAAAGCAGCCTTATAGCGCAGCATTTACTGGCTAGTTGTCCCGGCTGCCAATTAAAAACATCTTCCGGTTGTCTGCGCTCTCTCACTGAAACAACGTTCAGAGAATTCGACTGAAGACGGTGACATTTCTCCTTTGAAATAATTTTGAATTATTGGCAATTCCAGTCCAGAGCTGGAAGTGTTTCAGTCAATCCAGTCAATTAAGCGAGGTCACTCGAAAGCAAAATAAATAAGTAACAATAAAGTAACTAATAATAAGCTTAAGCTAAATAAATAATAAATCAAAGCTAAGCAAATAAGAAAGCAGGATATGAGAAAATTACATTTTGATCGGAGCTTCTTGTCCCATTTTCGTCTCACAGATCTTTTTCTCTTGAGTTATTAATATTGAAGGAATTAAAATTCAACGCGGTCACCCAGTTTTTACAGTAGAGGAATAAAATACAAAGGACGCAAAACTTCACAAACAACACATTTCATAGCACGTTATTATTTTATTTGAACACACTAGTCTTTGACCCGTCCCACTTTCTGTTGAAAAGACCTTTTGAACAGTAAACAGAGCGGATCACGGGGACAGCCCAGGGGTTGCATTGCATTACTACCGGTCGTTTGGGTCAGGACCCATAGCTGGATCATTGTGGGAACCTACTAAACTTCCGTTTCTGTTCTTTTTTATAGCTTTTTATCTATCTCACATTGTAAATATCAGTAATACACCCTTATTTTAGTCCCTGAACATGGAACCCGATTTCTTCTACGCAATGCAATTATTAGAAGCTACTGGTGTTTGTATTGTGCCTGGTAGTGGATTCGGTCAAAAAGAAGGAACATGGCATTTCCGGTATGCTACCACTTAAATAGTTGATTTTCAATTCAGAATTTTCTGATTTTCGAATTTCTTTTCAGAACAACAATTCTTCCCCAAACAGCAATGATGAAGGACATGTTGGAACGATTCAAATCGTTCCATACGAAATTTATGAAAGAGTATAAGTAAAGATCATTTTAGGTAAATCATCACTATGTTTGACAAATTCTTAAATACGAGTTCTAAGGTTGTGCCAAGGTTTGAAGCGTAGGGACCGGTTTACATGAGACTTGAAAAGCCGTAATTAGTTTTGAAGCCATAGTACACCGAGTGAATATGTTTAGTTACTATGATTTAGATGAAATTTGTCGGCCTCTTTGTTAAGCCTTCTCATTACTTCGTATGAAATCATAATAAAGAAATTTAAAACAAAAATCTTACCTGTACGTCCTCCTGCCCTCCTGTGATTCAGCAGCCGGGTGGTCTCCTACCATCTTGACACATAGTTCGAATGCTTGGACCCCTGATCGTCCATCTTTTCAGTACGATTGATTTATCATTTCCATTTGCTGCCTCACCTTCACACTATAATCACATACTTCAACGAGACACTTCAATTTTTTAAGACGAAAGGCACAATCAACTCCTCTCTAGTACAAATATCACCCATTACCACTTCCTATCACCTTTCTATGGTCCTTCAAAACTTACGTATAATACTGTGATACGAGACATCGTTTTGAATAAGAAACGCACAAGCAATCATCCACCAAACATTAATGCCCCTAAACCTTAGTCCTCACTACTTCTCAAGTTCACTTCAGCGCTACTGTTGGACGGATGTCGTGTAGTGAGAAATAGCGCACAAACACACATGAATGACCCGGCTATCGAACCATGGATCGATACTCGCCCGAGCCAATTGAGCCCTCTATCCATACGAGGTCGGCTACTTCCTACTAGGCTCGAGTAGGTTGATAAAAGCACTGATGGCTGTCCATCCCGATTCATTGCTCAGGTCATATAAGAATTCAAAAGGGGCCACTGCGATTCTGACAATTTTGTAGTCAAGTACCTACCGGAGGCGAATTTCTCTCCACAGAACAATTGTATCCTTCGTTGAAGACCACCTGAGTCACTGTACACACAGTCCGAAGATTTTGGAAAACGAGACATCGAAGTCCATTCCACTCCAGTTAAATGGAAAAGGACCGCACTGAAAT